CCGCCACAGTCCCGCTCGGCCTCGCAGAGAGTGCTGGTTGTGTTTGCTTTTTTTTTTTCTGGTCATCTACTGTGGGAGGCTGCTGGGGACACCATGCCTTTCCTGGAAATGGCAGCAAAACATGTTGACCCTTCTTCCTCTGCCTTTTGTGTGCTCGCTGGCACCCTCGGCACGCGCGTTCTGCTCCCACACAGCCCTCAGCTGGAGCCGCCTGGAGCCGCTCCAAGGCCGGGTTTCCCCAGCTCCTGATCTCTCTCCCCATCCCCAATGGCACCCCTTTCCTTGTCTCCTTCCTTATTTGTTTGGCATTTATTTTCTTACAGAACAGCGAAAGGAAACTGCTCCCTCGGCTAGGGTTTCCTAGAAGTATTCGTGCATTTGTGCACTTGGGTTGCAAGCACTCTTGTAAGGCTACTTCCCCTCAGCTAAGAGGGGGTTCTTCTCCCCCCCCCCCATTTAGGAGCATATCATTCTCCAGTTCAGAAGACACTTCTCCATTGACATCTGCAGGAGATTGTACCAGCGTTTGCCAAATATTCCGTTTTCTTTCCCCATCCTGTTTTTCCCTGTGGGTGGGTTGATAGCTCAGCCCCTCTTTGTTGAAGTCAGGGGGAAGCATATGACTTGCTTGGGCCAATAAAGTGCGGGCAGAAGTGATGTGTGTTACTCACAGTAGTTCTAAGAGCCAGCCTGATGTTTGAAATGTTTCTCTTCCCTCCACCAGAAGACTAGCAATGCTCAGATAGAAATTGCTCCAGCAGCCCAGGTCCTGGACTGAAGACAGGGAGCAGTGCCACAGCTGACTCTAATGGACATGTTGTGCTAGTAAAAAAAAAAAAAAAAAAAAAAAAAGCTGAGTTCTTAAGAGCTCCTGATATATTTGGGGTTGTTTGTTACTGCAACATAACCAAACCTATTGTGACTGATACAGCATCCTTTCATTTATAGATCTCTACAATAAAACAACATGTTGAGATTACTTAGTAGCACATGGAATAAGAAATCTAGAAAGCTATTCCTAGTACTAGGCAGTGCTGCCTGCCTGCTGGTGAGTATCTGGCCAGGTTAACAAGGGATCTTGGAATGTGGGAAACTGCAGGGATCTTAGAGTTCTTCTCATTGAGCCTTCTCATCTGCACACAAGGAAGCGGGGGCTTGAAGATGTTCAGTGGCACACTTTTGGTTAGCCAGGTGGTTGGTGGGAGAATGTGGTCCAGACTGGAGGAAGCCAGGCTCCCACTCCCATCCTCTGTCCATCACGCCTTCTCCTGAGGCTTTCAGCTCACTTAGCATTGGGGAAAAGACAAGAGAAGATCCTCAAATAAACACTTTCTACCATTTTATTTTAAATATTTCTGAAAATCTTAAACCCATTGAACTTCCAGCTACCCATTTATTTATTTATTTGCTGCAAGAAGCTTTATTGTTTCCATTTGGTCCAATGCATGGGAGAGGGCTCCAGGGTGGTTAAAAGAATGGCCAGTGGTTTCAGAGAGAGGCTCAGGCAAAAGCCAGGCACCAGGGGAATGCAGCGGGGCCCTCACTGGCCTCTGGGCTCCGAAGGCTCCTAGTTGTGCTTGAGCCTTTCGAAGAGATACTCGCCCAGCCCAGCCTGGGGGCCGCCAGCCTGGGGAGGTGAGGCAGGTGTCGCCTGTCTTCTTGATGAGTTTCACCTGCTCATCCAGCTCGAGGTTCTCCAGGAATCACAGAGCTGAGGGTCTGTGCGGGAGGAACCCAGGGCACCGGAGCCAAAGGCCTGGCTCAGGTTCCTCCCCCAGGCCATGGCGGCTTCCATGGCATCCTGAGTTTTGCCCCACTCATTTTGGGAAGGCTTCAGCACGGCCTGGAAGAGAACTGGTTTTGCATCTTTAAGAGATGCTCTGCGCCCTTAAGCTTCTTCTCCGCCAACTCACCGAAGTGGCCCACGCCCTCCAGAGCTGCAGGTCGCGGTGGAAACAGAAGCCCAGAGAGAGGTAGGTGTAGGAGGCCTGCAGACGCAGGTAGGCCGGGCCATTGATGGCAGCCTCCACCTCAGTGGAATGATTCTGACGAATTTGGGAGCTCACGGTTGTTCAGTAATGAGTTAAGGTTGGAAATGGTGTTGGCTGGTCTCGGAGGTTTGAGGATGGCTGGGGTGGCTGCAAAGGTGATGACTGGGAAAGAGGCTGGAGGGAGGTCGGAGGCTGGAAGAAGGGGCGGTCCTGGGTCTGTTCCGTCCAAACACTGTTGAAGTAGGAGACAGGTCCGGGAGGGCCGAGGCACTCCAGCTGCGCGCTTTAAACCCCAGACAGTCCTCCATTCCCTGTACTACTGCTTCACGTTGAGGACAGTTCATGTCACCAAAATGAGATGCTTCAGAGAAGCGAACTTGCTACGCAGGACAAGTATGAGAGGCTTTCTTTTCGGCACTGTTCCAAAATACCCACCTTCATGGTTCTCTTCACTTCACCACACAGTTAAGAACTGACGGTGCGATGTTTTTCTAAATCAGTCGTGTCTAACTTTACTTTAGGACATGTGACGGGTTCTGCTCTCT